GAAGGAAGCATCTTGTAATTCATTAAAACATATAACATATTTTTAACGTTTCGATTTCGTGTGACGTAATAGAAACAAGAGGTGTTGGGCCGATGCAAAGAATTGATAAAGTAATGGGACTAAATTGTGTTTGTGTGTGTGGGGGGGAGGGGGCTGCTGTATGTTCTTTGTGAACTTGGTCGTGGGATTCAGTACGACATGTGTTTTGTATTAGTGATAGATGTACAGGGCTGCTATAACTATTTTATGAAGTAATATAAACAGATAGAATGGGCTTCAGTATGGCATGTGTTTAGTATTAGTGATAAATATATTTATATACTGGGCTGCTATAACTATATTGTGAAGTAAAAAGCATATATTTAGTGGGCTGCAGTAAGGAAACTATGAACTTATAGTAACAAAGGTTTATCGGAACGAAATAAAGCTTCTTGCCAGTCCATTATTTTTATTTACCACCATCAGGTGGTGAGGGGGGGGGCATGAAAGAATTCCAGCCCATGTGCATCTTGATCAAAACTTTCCTTATTGTAAAAGTACACGGTAAACCTTTTCACCTATCAACTTCCAGGCAGTCGTCCCAAACAGTTTCGGCACCTGTGGAGGCATCTTCTGCAGTAACGACACCGAGTGTGCTGCTTGGGAGAAATGCTGCCCAAGTTCCTGCGGTCAGAACCTTTGCACAAATCTAACAGGTGATTGGTTGTTACTATTTAGTAAAAAATTGATTTGTTTAAATATCTTATATATTGAAATGACTGATAATCCTTTTAAAATCCAAATGGGATATATTCCATTAACATGTTCATTCCAAGCCTTAAGGTCTCTGGTTAACAATTCGAACTCTTCCCAACACTTTGATACAATAAGTGTTACAGTGTTCGTTAAAAAGCATATGACATTATTTTTCCTCTGTGTCTACTATACACAATTGTAAAGTTGAATTGCAATTTAATAAACTGCCTGTGGGATATGAACAACGTCCGTCAAATACTACAATCATTTTTTTTTTAAGAATGTTAAAAAAAATAAAAAATTACTTGAAGCATCTGTCACACTTTTAAGTATCTTTTAAAGTTTTCTTTAATTAACTCAGTCAACGCAATGTGATTCACTTCTTCTACTTTTTTTAGTGAACAGTTTTTGGGAACTGCCACGTCGTGGCACTTTTTCAACAACGACAGACCGTCACTGAACTAAACGTTACAATCTACATTCAATTTTCGATACTGATATTACATTTTTTTTAAGTAACTAATTGTAAGTGGTGAAAGATGGATGGATTAAAAAACTTACATTTTTTTTTTTAGTATCCCCTAGTAGAGACCCGTGCCAGAACTTCACATGTCAGAACGGTGGGACGTGCAACGCCCCTGATGATTTCCCCAACTGTTTGTGTGCGGCCGGCTTCTTTGGTGCCAATTGTCAATGTAGGTCATAAAGGAATGGTCAGAGGGAGGAAAACTGTTTCGTGGATTTGTCAAAGTTTGTCATAAAATAATGATGACATGAGATGAAATGAGTAAAACAAAGTAGGCTTAAACTTGAATAAAGGAACGCAACAAACGAACGAACGTGTCGGCAGGAAGCCTTTGTAAGCAAACGAAACAAAAGAAAAAACAGATTAAAATAAATAAAATTGCTCTTAGCTTAGAAGTAGTATCTGAGAGGGAAGCAAATGAGTTTATGATGGGCAGTTAATGGCGGGCAATTAATGACGGGCAGTTAATGACGGGCAGCTTATGTAGCCAGCCAAATAATTTGATGGGCATTAGGACCTGATCGTTGACAAGCCAGTAATTCTCAGAAGGGGCCCCGACCTGCCTCAATTTTCATTGCAAGTGCCCAAAAACGCACTTACCAGACCAGTGCCTGGGGGGGGGGCGGTGGTCGGTGGAGGGGAGGATTCCAAAGACTTTGTTGTAAGCTCCTTATCTAGCGATACTCTGCAGATGATGCACGCCTGCGATATGTTGGCCGGGGCCGTAATGACTGACTGTCGCGGTCCACAAAATGATCGTTCATTAGAAAATAACTGAGCTTTTAAGATTACGTGGAATTGATAGATATATGCATACGTAGTAATTCTTTATTTAATATTAATTGTATAAACAGATAAGTTGAAAAAAAAATGGAAACATTGACAGAAGAAAAAAGAATTCACTTGAAAGCACGATTTTTTGTTTCTATTTTCGTCAGTTCAACGGGTCACAATTGATTTTACGCAAGAACCGAGCAAAGCATCATCAACCTTTTCGTCTCCAGACAACACGGATCCATGCTACAATAATTTCGGATGTCTCAACGGTGGGAATTGCACTGCCCCTGCCGACGCCCCATACTGCGTGTGCCCCGAGGGCTTCACTGGTGAAAAATGTCAATCTCAAATAGGTGGGCAGTGTCCGGTAAGAATTTAACGCATTGGAGGTATCCAAACCTTAAAAGACGTCCCACACCATATTTGTTTTTAATAGTTTCTTATCAAGATGGTTATACAATATAGATCACTTTAGATTTATAGCCTTGGTAAAGACCAACCTTAAGTATCTTATTTTTAATTGAAATTCCTTGTATATCGAGGGAGAAACAGTTCCAGATGTGTCGTGTACAATTGTTTGTTTGCTCTTAAGCGTTACTTTCTTAATTGTAATACGATTATGCGAAGTAGGAAGCAGGTTGTAATTCATTGAAACAAATAACATTTTTTCATTTAACATATAACAATTTCGTATGACGTAATAGAAACAGGGGGGTCGTGGGCCGATGCAAAGGTTTGATAAAGTAATGAGAATAGATGTGGTTGGCTGCACTAGGTCGGTGTTGAACTAACTGGACTATTATGTATTGGGCTTCAGTGCCGCTTGCGTTTTGTATTAGTGATATACATAAGGCTGCAAAAAATAATTTGTGGAGTTATAGGAACAGATGTGGAAATATGATGTGAAATATGTAGTGGGGTTCAGTACGACACGTGTTTAGTATTAGTGAAAGGTATACAGGGCTTCAGTAAATATTTTATGAAGTAGTATGAATAGATATAATGGGCTTCAGTATGGCTTGTGTTTAGTATTAGTGTTACATATATATATATATATATATATATATATATATATATATATATATTTATATATATATATATATATATATACTGGGCTCCTATAACTATATTGTGAAATAAAACACATATATTTAGTGGGCTGCAGTGAGAAAACTATGAACTTATAGAAATATA